CCATCATGGCCTGATGTAAGGTGGGTGTCAGAGGTAGAGTCACCAGAACCACGTCCTCCATTCTGATGACATCCTAGATGCTCTAGATCCGTGTGTTGTTGAATGTCAATCCCTAAAGAAATTGACATACAGACAGAGAACTGTCCCATACACTCTCTGGGTGATCCTGGGCCTTGAGTCGAAACCATACAATCAGGTCATGTAGATGCCTGCTTTGTGTCTTCTGATTCAGACTTAGAGAGGTAAGTGGTGCTTGCTGAGGTGGATCAAGCTGGACATTCCTCCAAATGATTTGTAATAGTCACTGTGGCAGTCATTTCTTCCCAAGATGTGCATGGCAAGTCTGCAGGTTGCTGAGGTCTGCAATGCATTGGTGGTGGTGGTGGATAGGGCAGGAGGTATTTCCACAGAAAGCCATGTCCATAGCCTCCGTATGGAGGAGGCATCCAGTATTGGCTCCTTCCGTACTGAGGGAACTCAGATTCAAAGGAGGAGGTGGTTGACAAATTGATCCCGATGAGGTCTCTGGTGACAGGTCCCCGTACAAGGTCAGAGTAAGAGGGTGTATTGGCTCCTAATGCTCTTGAATGGACTGCACCAAGCAGTCAGATGGTGTTGCAGAGTGCATGGGGGATTCCTGAATCTCTCCTTCTGAGATCGAAGGTGCCATTGGTTCTGCCACCTGAGACTCAACCAGGCTGAAGCGTGGTCTTGGAGAGGATCATGGAGACAGGCTTGGCATTTGTCGAGGAGATGGTCATGATGTTGTCCATATGGATGATGAGCCAGAGGCTTGCTTGGTACTGAGACTCCCTGTTCCATTGCGTAGGGGTATGGAATGTCTTTCTGAGCCAAATGAGAAAGCTTCTTCTTCTTTTCCAGTGGCTTGTCTTTTTTGGAACACTTGTCTTTAGCAGTCCCTTTGGTTTCAAGGTGATTCCTTCTCTCCTTACATTTTCTTTAGGAGAATGAGACCATCTTGAGTGGTTGTTTTCAGATCTAATGCTCTCACCTTAATCTGCATGTGGAGGGGCGCTTCCTACAGAGGTAGAAAGGTCAGCAGGTTGAGCAGCAGTAGCCTCTTTCATTGCCAGTAAAGTTTTATCCCATTAGACTTTCTTGAGGCAATTTCCCCAGTTCATGCAAGCCTGTTTGGTGAAGGCTTGGCAATGAACACACCTGTCCACGCAATGTCCTTCACCAGGACAGAACAAGCAGAGCGGGTGCTTGTATGTAGACAGCATCTTAGCTCCGCACTGGCCACACCTTCTAGAAGCAGAACGCTGCACCATCAAGAAGAAAAAGAGATGGGAAATAAAGGTAAAGAGAGACTATAGAAGGGTTTTTTTGGGGGGGGGATGGGTTGGGGGGGGGGGGAAAAGGGAAGGGTGTGCGGAGGGTAGTGAGGTTTTGTAAGGGATTTAGGATAAAAAGATAAAGGTAAGAGTAAAGTACAAAGTCCCCTTCATGGATCACTGCCTTGTGGCAAAGGAGCTTGCATAGCTCAATAAAGCTATGAGCTATGCTGTGCAGGGCTACCCAAGACGGACAGGTCATAGCAGAGAGCTCTGACAAAACGTGATCCACTGGAGAAGGAAATGGCAACCCACTCCAGTATCTTTGCCACAAAAACCCATAGACAGTACCAAAAGACAAAAAGATATGACGCCGGAAGATGAGCCCCTCAGGTCGGAAGGTGTCCAATATGCTACTGGGGAAGAGCAGAGGGCTAGTACTAGTAGTGCCAGAAAGAATGAAGTGACTGGTTCAAAGCCGAAAGGACACTCAGTTGTGGATGTATCAGGTGGTGAAAGGAGAGTCCAATGCTGTAAAGATCTATACTCCAGAGGAATCTGGAATACAAGATACATGCATCAAGGCAAGCTGGATGTGGTCAAACAAGAGATGGCAAGACTGAACATTGACATCTTAGGAATCAGTGAACTAAAATGGACAGGAACGGGTGAATTTAATTCAGATGGCCATCAGGTATACTACTGCGGGCAAGAATCCCTCAGAAGAAATGGAGTAGCCTTCATAGTCAATAAAAGAGTAGGAAAAGAAGTACTGGGATACAATTCTCAAAAATGTCAGAATAATCTCAATTCGAATCCAAGGCAAACCATTCAAAATCACAGCAGTCCAAGACTATGCCCCAACCTCTGGTGCTGAAGAGGCTGAAATTGACTGGTTCTATAAAGGCCTACAACAACTTCTAGAAATAACACCAAAAATGATGTCCTTATCATCATGGGGGATTCAAATGCTAAAGTAGGAAGCCAAAAGATAACCAGAATAACAGGCAGGTTTGGCCCTGGAATACAAAATGAAGCAGGGCACAGGCTGGTAGAATTTTGTCAAGAGAATATGAGAATAGCAAACACTCCTTTCCAACAACCCAAGAGATGATTCTACACAGGGACAACACCAGACGGTCAACATAGATATCAGATTGACTATGTGCTCTGCAGCCATAGATGGAGAAGTTCTATACAGTCAGTAAAAACAAGACCAGGAGCTGACTGTGGCTCAGATCATGAGCTTCTTGTTTCAAAATTTAGGCTTAAATTGAAGAAAGGGAAAAGCACTACGTCACTCAGGTATGACCTAAATCATATTCCTGATGAATATACAGTAGAGGTGACAAATAGATTTAATTAGATCTGATAGACCTGAAGAACTATGGACAGAGGTTTGCAACACTGTACAAGAGGTAGCAACTAAAAACATCCCAAAGAAAAAGAAATGCAAGAAAGGAAAATGGCTGTCTGAGGAAGATTTACACATAGCTGAGGAAAAAAGGGAAGTGAAAGGCAAGGGAGAAAGAGACACTCAAATGAATGCAGAATTACAGAGAATAGCTAGAAGAGATAAGAAGGGTTTCTTAAATGAACAATGCAAAGAAATAGAAGAAAACTATAGAATAGGGAGGACCAGCGATCTCCTCAAGAAAATTGGAGATATGAAGGGAATGTTTCATGCAAAGATGGGCATGATAAAGGACCAAAATGGCAGGGGCCTAACAGAGGCAGAAGAAATTAAGAAGAGGTGGCAAGATTACACAGAGGAAGCATACAAGAAAGTTATTAACATCCCTGATAACCACGATAGGGTGGTCACTGACCTCGAGCCAGACATCCTGGAATGTGAAGTCAAAAGGGCCTTAGGAAGTCTGAGCAACAACAAAGCTAGTGACATGAGGTGACAGTATTCCAGCTGACCTATTCAAAATCTTAAAAGACGATGCAGTAATATGCTACACTCAATATGCCAGCAAATTTGGAAAACTCAACAGTGGCCACAGAATTGGAAAAGGTCAGTTTACATTCCAATCCCAAAGAAGGGCACTGCCAAAGAATTTTCAAACTACTGCACCACTGCACTCATTTCATATGCTAGCAAAGTTATGCTCAAAATCCTACAAGCTAGGCTCCAGCAGTATGTGGACTGAGAACTACCAGAAGTATAGGCAGAATTTCAAAGAGGTAGTGGAACTAAAGATCATATTGCCAACATACGTTGGATCATGAAGAAAGCTAGGGAGTTCCATAAAAACATCTACTTCTGCTTCATTGACTATGCTAAAGCCTTTGATTGTGTGGATCACAACCAATTGTGGCAAGTTCTTAAAGAGATGGGAGTACCAGACCATCTTATTTGTCTCTTGAGAAACCTATATGCGGGTCAAGAAGCAATAGTGAGAACTGGACCCGGAACCACAGATTGGTTCAAAATTGAGAAAGGAAATTGGCATCTGGTCCTATCACTTCCTGGCAAATAGATGGGGAAGATATGGAGGTCGTGACAGATTTTATTTTCCTGGGCTCCAAGATCACCACAGACGGTGAGTGAAGCCAAGAAATTAAAGGACGCTTGCTCCTTGGGAGGGAAGCTATGGCAAATCTAGACAGCATACTAAAAAGCAGAGACATCACCCTGCCGAAGAAAGTGTGTATAGTCAAGACTATGGTTTTCCCAGTTGCAATGTATGGCTGTGAAAGCTGGATAAGGAAGGCTGAGCACCGAAGAACTGAGGCCTTTGAATTGTGGTGCTGGAGGAGACTCCTGCGAGTCCCTTGGACTGCAAGGAGATCAAACCAGTCAGTCCCAGAGGGGATCAACCCTGACTGCTCTTTAGAAGGCCAGATACTGAAGATGAAACTCAAATACTTTGGCCACCTAATGAGAAGGAAGGTCTCCCTGGAGAAGAGCCTAATGCTGGGAACAATTGAAGGCAAAAGAAGAAGGGGAAGGCAGAAATTGAGGTGGCTAGATGGAGTCACTGAAGCAGTCGGTGTGAGCCTCAGTGGACTCCAGGGGATGGTGAAGGACAGGAAGGCCTGGAAGAATGTTGTCCATGGGGTTGCGATGGGTCGGACACGACTTCACGACTAACAACCACAACTACAACAACAAAGTTCAAAGTGAAGAAGTTTATGAGGGAAGTTGAAAGCAATGACAGAATCTGAGGCATAGTGAATGGTGGTCGAAAGTGGACTGGCAAGAGGGGGGGGCTCCGCCGATTTATATACTGCATGTAATAAACTAACATTTTTACGGACACATTAAATGATGTAATATTTTTATGTGCCAGTGGGTGGGGAAGCATAAAAAATATGATTCCAGTGGTATAACTTACATGTGATCTTAGGAGGAAGTATTAGGCACAAACGTCAAGCGTCATGGGATACTCTGTAGAATGTCTTATGTGCTTTGCCTGTTTTTTGAACTGCCAAAAGCAATTCTCTCCCACAGCACTTGCAATCTAAACGCAGCTTCCATCACAGAACAGCAGCCTAGTACTACTTATGGTGGTCATACTGGTACTTGCCTCCCATTTCCCCAGGTGGTAGGGATCTAGGAAATGCTTCTCTGTGATCAGGAAATATCACCTAGAATTAAAGCTGCAGTGACGAATGTGGTCAAGTTGAGTACAACAGGAAACCTGAGATGAAGATGTTTCAGCTAGTGTACATCTTACTTTGCAGTCTGGAACATACCTTTGAACAAAGCTCTAGAATTGCATCTTGCATGACTTGACCAGCATTTTCACGTGAAATGTAGCCACCTGAGAATGAAGCAAAATAACACAATATTGATAATCATGTTTGTTAGTAAATGTAACATTAGTTTCTGGAATAAATGGAGAGCACTGGTGCTGATGATCAAAAGTGGTATCTAAGGCTTCATTCTTTTAGACACTTACTTTAGAGTAAGTTCCACTGTAATGAACGAGTTTACATCTGAGTAGAAATGTATGGGTCGCCCTGTTAAAGAGCATCCTTATATAAGCCCCCTGTGCATTAAAAAAACTGGATAGTCACCTGTGTAGGATGGTGTAAATTGGTGTCCTGCAGCAGCAGGGGGTAGGACTTGATGGCCTTCTTGGCTCCTTCTAACTGCTATTCTATGACTCTATGAACTAGAGGTGTGGCCTTTAGAGCAGTTCTAGAGAGGTTGTCACAGAAGATCAAGGTGCACCTGTGAGGTTTGTGAGGAGCAGGGTCTTCCTGCACGGGGAACCTGTTTATGGAAAGCTCTCCACTTTGAAGTGCATAGGGCTAATTTCATACTGGCATTTAGAAAGCAACCACAGGATATTCATGGACCCAAAGCATGGAAATAATAATATAAGATGCTCACATAAAAATTAATTCATTAGTATTGACAAGCAAAGGGCAGAGGCAAGTAAAATGTTTTCATAATAGACATCCTGCTGGCGTTACTTATGGTTAAACATACACAAGACTGTGCTCAAGTTAAGCTTTGCAAGAGGCTGGTAGTCATAATACAAGCTTATTTACAAGGATATCTTATTAAAGGCTGACATATCGCTGACCCCAACTTTAGTCTTTCCCAATGAGCAGAAGAAAGGGTTGAGGTTAAAAGACCAAGGGTCAGTCATAAATATGCACTACCTTACTGCTTATGTGATATAAAAGCTAGGTACCTTAACTTTACTATTAAGCTTTTCAAGAACCTTGAAATGTTCCCCTACATGAAAGAATTATTAATAATAGATTCTGCTGTCCAGGAAGAATGTTGATCTCACCTTGGTAGAGCACAGCCATGTGCTTATTTAAAGACCACAATCCATACAATGAACAGACATGCTTCAGGACTGGCTGAAGGCTACCTGGAGTGCTGGAACTGTGAACATATTCATAATATCGTTGCAAAACAGTGTGTTCAATGAAAGCTATGGCTAAAGAACGACAGAAGTACACCTGAAAAAAAGAAAAACAGAATTCAAAGTGGATACTGAAAAGACCTACAAAGATACCAAAGTATGTCATATTTATTTATTTAAAATAATACCGGAAGGGATATAGAAGTGTAAGATAAAACAGCCATACAATGTGCAATAAAAACAACATACACCATTGAAAAGGAGGAGCAAATTAGCTGAATGAATCATTAAGCCATCAAAATGCCTGAACAATCAAAAAGCCAGTGCTGAACCACAAGCATGTTGGTGCCACTCTCATCTCCATGTGGAAGGCATGTCACAAGTGGGCCATGAGGGCAGAGAAGAGCCAGTGTGGCGTAGTGGTTAAGAGCGTGGGACTGGGACTCAGACGACCTGGGTTCTAGTCCCCACTCAACCATGGAGCCCACTGGGTGACTTTGGGCCAGTCACAGACTCTCAGCCCAATCTACCTCACAGGGTTGTTGTGGGGATAAGATGGATGAGGATGTAAGCTGCCTTGAGCCCTGTAGGAAAAAGGCAGGATATAAATCGAAAAGATAAAAAAATAAATAGAAGGCCCTCTTCCTTGCTGTCACATAAACTCTTAACGGTCTTAAGACATAGGCAGGTTGATAAAAGCAGAGGGGCTTCTTCAGGTATTTGAGTCCAAAATCCTTTAGGGCTTTAATTGTAGCTACTCTCATACGACTTCAGAATTTCCCAAAAGATAAACTTTTCTGTCCTCTCCAGTAACCTGAGGTAAGGTTGGGAGTGTCATGTGATCAGTGAGATCTCCTTGGAAGGAAAGTAGAGCAGCTGCCCACTGGCGGTGTCCTTTTTCTCCCTCACACGCCTGCCCACTCTTGGTTCCTTTGCCAGGAATGGTGTTGCTGGTGCCACAATCCCTGAATTAACTTCCACTTGGGAGGACTGAAGCAGGGCAATACTGTGAGGCCATACCTCCTTCACATCATCTGAATTGGCTACAGCAAAACCAACAAGTGTTCTGGGGTACTTTAAAGCTAAATGCATGCAAGGCTTCATGGTATTTATTTATTTATTTATTTATTTATTAAAACATTTTTATGCCGCCCCATTCGCCGAAGCCTCGGGGCGGCTTACAACAAAAAATTAAAATAACATTTTAAAATATATACAATAAAATACAAATATATAATATAAAACATACACTATAAAACAAGCCGCCCTGGCCAAATAAAATTCAATAATATTAACATTTAAAATACTGCTTAAATAAAAAGGTCTTCGCCTGGCGCCGAAAAGCAAATAACGACGGCGCCAGGCGGACCTCTCTGGGGAGCGCATTCCATAACTTAGGCACCACCGCTGAGAAAGCCCTCCTCCGAGTAACCACCCTCCTAACTTCTTCCATGGAGGGCTCCCGGAGAAGGGCCTCTCCCGCCGATCTCAGGGGGCGGCTGGGCATATAAGGATGTAAGCGCTCCTTCAGGTAACCAGGACCCAAGCCGTTTAGGGCTTTATAGGTCATAACCAACACCTTGAATTGGGCCCGGACTTCAATGGGAAGCCAGTGAAGCTGACGGAGAACTGGAGTCATGTGAACATAACGTCCAGTCCCCGTCAGCAGCCTGGCAGCTCTATTTTGGACCAATTGAAGTATCCGGACCGTCTTCAAGGGTAGCCCCACGTAGAGCGCGTTACAGAAGTCCAAACGGGAAGTCACCAACGCATGTGTCACTGTCGCAAGGCAGTCATTCTCCAGATAGGGGCGCAGCTGATGAATTAGCCGAAGCTGGAGGAAAGCGCTCCTCGCCACTGCTGTTACCTGAGCTTCCAGTGAAAGCTCTGGGTCGAGGAGCACTCCCAAGCTGCGGACCTTGTCCCTAAGAGGGAGTGCAACCCCATTTAGGACAAGGTTCAATTCACCCTCTCCGAAGCCCGATCCACCAACCAACAGGACCTCCGTCTTGTCTGGATTGAGCTTCAGCTTTAGTGTGTTGTTATTCTTTTACAAATATTCAGTGATGGTGAACCAGTCACAACCACCATTATATTGGTCCCTCCACCATTCTAACCCAAGGAAAACTTGGCTGCATCACCCCACATGCATTACCACCGAAGATCAAGGAGGGAGAAGCAGCACTAATGGCAGGAAGGGAAAAAATAAAAGAAATGGAGCCATCTCTGGTAACAAGGAAGATGTTCTATCTGATGTAAAAGACACATTATGGACAGCAATTTTCTCCTGTCTTGGGAGGAATAATCTTCTATAGTTAAGCATCTTTCATTCTTTGATAAAAGTTACCAAAACACTCCACATACATAGACTAACTTGTCTTTTTGGGGAAGGCTTACCGATCCATCCCACTGAATACAAGATTGGAGGACTTGGGAATGTATTCTCCAGGTTTTGACCAAGCAACAGAGAAAAAAGAAGGACTGTGATCACTTTAAAGGAATGGTCCATTATGTGGGAATTTCACTAGCTAAGCTCTAATGCCCATACAGGTTTTACTTTACACTGTTCTGTGAAAGTCTGTATGGGAAGGGGAGAGAGAAGAGGCAAAAGGTAGCTGTGAAAGTCATACCAGAAATTTTAAAGCATGGAATGATAAAATGTGTTTACCTGGCTATTGTTCCTTGCCTCGAATTCACTATAACCACATTCTGCCAGCTTATTCAGCTTTTGTATACTCTCTCGGAGCAAGTAACAAACTAGCCACTTGTATGCTCTTAAAGATACTGAAAAAAGAAGTGGGAAATGTTTAATATTTTAATTCATAATAAAGTAGAAAGCAACAACACTGATAGTTTACAACTGTTCCTGTATGTGTTGCATGTGAGTTTACAGAAATAGGAATTTAAATCATTGTGAAATGAAATGAAGTGTTTCTTGCATAGGCCAATAAAGACAGAAGGGACAGTTCAATACTTTGCTGTTCAATATTCTAAGTGGTAATAGGGAATAAACATCCCATTCCATTCCATTCTCTGGGATGGCATGGGATGGTTGCCTTTTTAAAAAAGGAGCCAAGGGTTTCTCCTCCCCCACTTTTTCCACTGAAAACAGAAAGTGAAGAAAATACTCTTGGAACCTTATGATTAAAAGGGAAGTCCTCCTCCCTATTCAGGTTAAAAATATTAGAAGTTCATGTTCACAGCCCCTCAAAGATCTCATTGATGGAGTGCAAGAAATGCATTTCTTGTAGATTTAGAAACTGATCATGTAGCAAATGTGAGCACACAAAAGCAGTAAGTGGTTGCAGAACCAGAGTCAGATAAGTGGCTTGTGGCCTGGGGCAGAAGAAGAAATTGAGTGAGAAGGAGGGCCTCCAAGTACAGAAATCACTGCAAGGCTAGGCAGAAATTTGCCTGTATATTTCTGAAAAATAACATTACACTTATTTCTCTCACCCCACCTATCTAAATTTTGCCCCTGATTTTTCATGATCTTTGTATGAAAAAGAAAGTTGTGAAGACTAAAGTTTCAGATATCTTGCATTTTCATCTGGGAAAACTGCTGAGGGTTTTGCATACGGCACATGCACCTAGGCAGTCTCATCCTTCCCTTTAGGATATTTGCTTTCTAAATTGAGCTCTTGAATCTAGAAGGTGCGAAAGAATACTCAAAGAATGTCTCTGCTGGATCATAGTGAAGAATCCATCTAGTTCGGCATTCTCTTACTTCCCAGCTTGGCCAACCTGGCAATAGACCTCCCACACTGTATGATTCCAGTACCAGTTGTCAAGCTACACTGCCTCTGAACATGGAGATTCCATTTCTCTCTCATGGCTTTTATTCTTATTACAAATATTTCCAGGCTGCCTTTCAAGGCAAGGGGTCTCCCCAAGTGAACACCAATAAAACTCCCGCAATAAAATTCAATATAGCAATAAAAATAGCAAAAACACTAATAACAAAAACCAGCATGAAAACAAAACCTATCATATACAATTGGAGTGACAATCTGATCTGATAAAACTGGACCACAGGAAAGCAGAGTAAAGTAGTAGGTTTCAATGCCTTCCTAAAAGCCTGAGGCCTGGCAGACCCTGATGGAAATATATTCTAGAACAGTGGTCCCCAAAGCTTTTTTGGTTGCCACCCCCTTTCCACTAGTGCCCCCATACCTCTTTCTTTGTGTTAGATCTATTACTCTATTGCAAATTTAAAATAACCAATCACCACTCCCTGGATCATGCTACTGGCCTCGAGGGTGGACAGTACCATTCACTCTGGGAATCACTGTTAGAGAGGTATGGGGTCATTGTGGAAAAGGCCTTTTCCCATGTAGATGCCCACCTAACCGCCCTCACACGTGGACAAATGAGGGATATGGGATGAGGGGGAGCCTTTAAACTGAAAACTGTTTAGAGCTTTAAAGCACCGGCACTATAAATTGGGCTTAAAAAATCACCAGAAACTGCCTAACATTCACTAGACATCTGCTCCCTCCATGAATTCATCTCATTCCCTTTAAAAGCCAGCCGCTATCACCTCACCTTGTAATAACAAATTGCTATGAGATAACATACTCTGTGAAAAAAGACTGGCTTCTTCTCTGTTACCCAGCACATCAAATTCAGAGGAAATGCAACAAGGGGGAGAGGCAGCCAGGTTCAAAAGAGGGAAGGGGAGGGGGCCAGGAAAGGCCACTGTATTGAAAACTTTAGGGAGGTAGTCTTAAGCATGTCTTCTACCAACAGTCAGACTTGAGATCTATATTCTAGAGACCTTGCATAGGAATTGTGCTGTAAGAAGCTTTGTCCGAAGTTGTCTCTTCTGTATTGTCCCCACGGCCAAGAGCTTTGACAAACAAGCAAGATTCAAGCCCCAGTTCCTGCACTGTGACTAAAACACTTTATCTAGCACCTCCCCTGCAGCCACTACCAACTGCAAGCCCTGAAAGCCAACACAGGGAAAGGGTTTGAGAAAAAAAGGTCATGCTCAAAATGAGAACATATGACAAGAACTGCGATGTGAACAGAATTACCTGAAGAATCCATGCAGTCTTGAACATTTGATGCTGCAAATTTTTGACAAAGAATATGGTCATAGTCTTCCAAAAAATCTACTGATCCCAGTGGTGATATAATAGGACCTTTGTCTGAAATGCCAATGATACCAAATCTAAATACCAAGTCAAACTATGTTAATATCTATGCACTAACGTCTTTGAAAATCAGTGAAGGGTAAACATCTGCTCATCTGTGCATTAATTGTAGATAATCTTCTGATTAAGCTGTTCTTCTCTCATTCCTTCAGCCTCATGGCTGCAGGAAATCCAGCAACAGCAGAGGTGCACTGTAGGAGCCACAAATGGAGCCAGGAAGTGCATACAGCCTACAGACTGCCCATTCCTGTTGCAAAGAGTGCCTAATTGCGTACCTGCCATCATGTTCTAATGAGTGTTCACATGAAATGAGCTGGGTAGGGAGTATCTTTTAAAGCCAGTCTGGGAGCCTTTTTTCACTGAGGGGCAGGACATTTTTTAAGACCAAGAGTGAGATTCTATCTACACTTGGCTGAGAAAAAGTTAGCACACCTAAACCAGATTTCTTAGAGGACATGACTGAAATATATCAGTTTCTGATTGGTAATTTTTCTTTATTTGTAAGAAGAAATTGTGTATGGCACCAAAATTTCCATTTGCAAGTTCAGCTGTGGAGATTATAGTGACCCAGGAATTGTTAACGGTATGGCCAGACTGCCAACCAGAATTTTGGCAGGAACAGGAACAGAGAGAGATGCGTTCTGACCTAGTTTACCTAAAACTTTTAACATAGGCTGGTAAATGCAGTTCAGTACAATGTAATGTCTCAGTGTTACTATGTTAAGCCCAATAATGAACCAAAACAGTTAGCTCATATCAGAGCCTCATGTAGATCATATTACAAACATGACGCTACAGCTGCTGCCTCTCTTAATATGCATCTACAGGAGGGTTTTGCCTACCCCTCTTCAGTCAATGCAACCTTAAATTTTATGACACACTAACCTCGGCGATCAGTGTTCATCCAGCTCAGTAAATAGTTACTGGTTTGCTGTAGCAGAACATTATTGTCACCTTCATAGGTGCAGTTTGGGTCATTGTCATCACGGATATCGCCCAGTCGATTCACTTAAAAAAAAAAAGCCACACACACACATCATGAAAGGGTTTTGTGTGATGAGCTGCCACTACATTTAAATATTTATTTATTTAGAACATTTGCATGCTGCCTATTGTGCTACAGCACCTCTGGGCAGTTCATAATCATAAGATAAAAACTAATTACAACAATTCAAAAAATACAATACTACACAATTTACAAAACCTCTTACAGAAAACTATGAGAAGGAACACTTTGTCAAAATGGAATATATAATATTCAAAAGCCCGATTGTGGTATTCCCCGTGTATGCAAGCTCTGCATGGAAGGTGGAATAGAGGGCTAGCTTTGTTCCCTGAGCCATCAATGCTTGCTGTCCTCTGCGCAGTGGAAGAGCTGCAGAGCAACAACTGCAGCACAGATGGAACTAAATGAGGGGCTTGTGCATTCATTTAACCGTAGCAATGATCAAGCTGTTAACTTACTGGCCAGATAGCCATGTCCCCCACAGGCTTCACGACATTCTTGAGATCCTTGTTGTGCAAGCCAGGAAGACAGTGGTTTGCCTGAAGTAGTAAGAGCATGTATCTCACGTCCAAGTTCAGCCTAGTAGAAAATGAACCAATAGTGCAGAGGTTAATCCATTCCCAAGTAAAATTGTTCAGAGCAGTACTCATGGGAAAGTGGCAACCATTACACCTAGCACAAGGTCCCCTGAACCAAAGCCTGATTCATGGCTAGCCATGAGGTATTTGGAAGAGGATCACTGCAAAGGCTAGCAAGTCCTGTTTGCTACTTAGCAAAGTACCTGGTATTCCTGTAACAAGATAGGCTGTAATATCCAATGTCAGCAGGGCAGGATTACAAAATGGTAATACTGAATATTTGGAGGATATACTAGAGTCACCTACAGAGGACTATTTTGAGTCATACAAATTGACAGGATTTAAAAAAACAGCAGGATTTTAACCAGCTTAACCTCTTATTAGGTGCACCAACAGAGTGAAATTCAAGAGGTCCCCTTGAAAAGAAAGAACGGTAGTTGCAAAGATAATGACAAGCTTATTGGTATCTTGTCCTGGAATGTATCCAGATGGAAATCTAAAGCATATGCCAAGGGTTTGACTGAATATTTAATACATCATGAAGTGATACTGTTCCAAGAAATGTGGCTTGTGGCAAATTATTTACCAGGATTTACAACATGGGTTAAACCAGCACAGAGAATAACCATCGGGGCAGCGTAATGGGAGGCCTAGTCATTTTGGTTAAGGAGGAGTTGGGATGCGGTGGAGAAATGGCTGATTGTGCAGACTCTTTCCTTAACTTTCTGGTGGTGATGTTTTCTTTTGCTGACATGGCAATAATCTTCCTAGACGCCTAAATACCTTCAACTCCTTCTCAGTACTATAAATCAAGATATATGACTGCAGCTCAGGCAATTATTAGAGGAATTGAGTATAAGTTTCCCAAGTGCTCTGATCATACTGTTGGGTGAGTTTAATGCCAGGATGGGTTCATCACTATCAAAAGTTGCAAGGAAATGCAGCCTTCTGGAGGATAGCTCCTTGGATATTAACTATTGGAAGTCCAGAGATAAAACTGGACTGATAAATAAATAAAGAGATAAATAAAGCTGCCACAAACCTGTATAAAATTATGTATTTGTTTGGTTTGCAGATACTGGGCTGTAATGAGCCTAATACAGAGTACCCTTTTATCTGCAGTCAGCATTCTCAAGTAGTGTCCTCAATACATCTGAGTTTCCAAAGGGAAAACATATTTATTCTCTGGTGTAACAGCTAACACCAAGGAGGATAGTGACCATCATCCCATTACAGTGATGCTACCAGCAGTTGCAGAATCAAGGCCAGTAACAGGTGCAGATAAATGGTTAGGACAGAATTTGGGATTTCATCAGGAAAGAAGATTAAAATGGCAAAAGGTTAGTTCTATGAAATTAAATGCTTTTCAAAATTCAATCATGGGTAAATTATTACATCATATCATCTCAAACCCTGATTCTAGTATAGATTCTGTCCTACAAGCATACCAGGACTTTTGAGACCTCTTTTAACAACCATGTTAAGATCAGATGAAATAAAACTTATGAAGTCCTCATGGCTTGATAAAGAATGCAGATTAGCAAGAAGCAAGCTGAGACGAAAGATCTGTAAACTACTGGCCTCATTAGACTGGATTACAAGACTGGATTTACTTTGACTGGATTACAAGAATAATATAAATTCACAGCTAAGAAATTACAGTTCCAAAACAAATTTTGGTCTGAATGTAAGCTGGCAGCAACAGAAACAAATGCTGCCTAATTTTGGCATTTAGTTTCTGGTAGGCTCAGAAAAATAAAATTCTTTTTTAATACCAGCTACAATATGGGGAAAATATGCAAACCTATTAAAGATGATAAAGTTGGAAATATTTGACCATCTTTGGCTTTAGACATCAATGATCTCCCATCATGCATGCCAGTCTCCACCTGTGAGACTAAATGGTTTATACTAACGTTGAAAGACAAGAAGGCACTGGGGAGAATTTTTTGCCACCTGAACGATTTAATACTAATGTAGACTGGTGGCTTTTCCTTTTGGCAGGCCTTTCTACACATACAAATAACCTAAAGTAAGTAAATGGTTAACCAGCACAAAACATCATCAATATGAACAATATTTGGCATGTCCTATGACAATGGAACATTTGACAGTGTTACTGGACTACATTTGGAACAAATCAAATCAGTGATGAAACTGGAGAGGTTTCATGGCATACCAGCTCCAGATGGGCTATGTATCTGTGGATCCCCGGAAGTGGAAGACTTGACCCATTTTATGCTTCATTGCCAGTTACTGTATATACTGACATTAGAAAATGTTATCTAGAACTCTTCCTAAAGAAAATGAAGTACTGGGAAGAGAAAGAAAAGTACTGGGTTTTCTGCCTCAAGGGACAAATTGGCACATGACAGGGTGGATGCCCGGAGGTCCTTCCTGATGGTTAGGACCCCTTGGGTATGGAATGGGCTTCCATGGGAGGTGGTTGAGGCCCCATCAGTGAGGGTGTCTAAGGACATGCACATGGTAGGCATGTCATGAGCGCAGCCATTGGAGCCGGGGGTCAGACTAGATGGCCCAGGAGGCCCCTTCTGACTCACTCTGTTTCTATGATACAAAATGTGTGTGGGGTTTTTTTTTTTACAGTAAAGGTTGCTGTAAAAAAGAACTTTAGAAAGAAAAGGAAGCAAAGTTCAAGAACTTTAGAAAGAAAAGGAAGCAAGACATAAGATATTAAATAAAGATGAAGGAGTAGCAACTTCTTAGGATTAGGAGCAACAAGGGCCTACATCTGGAATGATGACACAAAGCTTATGGGTTTAAATCAGGGCTGCCACTTTACCAACCTACATGTATGAACTGAAACTAAATATTCATGTATATGATAACTATGGACAGCATCATCATGAAAGCTTATGCTGGAATAAATTTGTTAGTTTTTAAGGTGCCATAAGAGTCTTTGTTGTTCAGGCCTTGTTCAGGTGACCCCTTGCTAGTTTGCAGCTTTGGATCAAACCTGAGGCTACAGCTCATTACTTAACTCCCTCTAAAGCAGTGTTTAGAAATCATTTTCCCATGAAGGACTACTGACCCACAGGAGATGAGAGGTTCTCCTCCGGATGGAGTGAAGGCCAAACATAGGCAGACTCTGCAGCACTGCAAAGCACTTGTGCTTGCTGGCTCACTCTCTCTCTCTCTCTCTCTCTGCTATACCAATCTCCTCTTTCATCACATATTGTCAACATACATGTTATGCAGAAAAGGAAGCAAGTCCCACAGTGGCCTGAAGAGCAAGAGTGGACTCATCGTGTCCAGAAATCTGGATGATGCTGAGGACCACATAAAATCGAGCAAAGGGCTGGATGTGACTTTTGGGACAGAAGCTCTAACAGATGTCAAGGACAGTCCTGGTAATGTTAACAATCACCAAGATGATGATCTTTGGGATTAATGGGGCCACTAGGATCCAAAGGGTGACCACATTTTAGTCTTCCTTGAGCTGATGAGTTCAGATAATGCTTTCAGTATTTTTTCTTAACTTTTAAGATGTCTCATGGTATTCAGCAATGTACTCTGCCTGCCACCTCCTTCTCATACCGTATCTGTCATATCTGCGTGACTGACCATAGTAAATGATGTTTAATTTACTCATTAGCAGCACCCAGTCACTGAGTAGTGTGATATAGCTAAAAAAAGCTTCCCATTAGCAGTCCAGGAAAGAAGCAAAAAAACACAACCACCCCTTGTGATATGATAACGGCAGGTAACACTGTTGTGCATTTTCCCCATAGCTCAGAGTACAGCCACTACTTCCATACCAAGCAATACAGGGCAGTTGCCATATTTTACCCAGTGAAAAATGTTAGGGGAATCCCACTTAATGGAAAATAACTACACTTTTTAGACAGCAGTACTTTGGATGTTGCCAGTCCAAGTGAAGGGCCCACTTGTGCTTCATACAATAGCTTAGGACCACGAACTACTGACCGACCCCTCACCTGTTGTGGACTTTTGTCCTTCATTAGTACACCTATGTGGAATTCCAGGTTGTTCATGAACAACGTTCTAGAGAAATGGTCTAAGACATATGTGGCTGCTAAATAAGGAAGCAAACGCCATTGCTGGAATGAAAATGAAATCTACATCAGAGAAAGCTGGGAGACAGACAAGCATCACTTAAAACACTTTTCAAACTAGTCAAAGAGACATTTTATCCACTCTACAAGAGTAAAGGCTACAATTTTTTTACCTCCAACAATGATAGCTTAAATAATCACAAGCCTGCTTCAATCAGCTTTCACTCATCCAAGCACATGTTAGAAAGATGAACATAAGTGAATTGGATGACAATTTCATATTTATCTTTATTTCAAGCCTCTTTAGTATTCCTGAAGGAATAAAAGTATTTTACTTGTGTGGTTTAGATAGAAAAATGTTCTACAACTTCTAGCATTCCCTAGTAGTCATGCTCACTCTGGCATGCTGGGAATTGTAGGAACTTTTTTGTCTAAACATGCATAGGATTGTGCTCTCAGGTGCTCAAATTACATTTCAAAAATTAGCCCTCCTCATTAAACATGGAGCTGTGATGAACTGAAAGTTTTTTCTTCCCTGACAAGCATAAGCAGCTCCTGCATGCGGCCACCCGATTACTATCAAATATCTCTGCCATGAAGGAGCCAATGCTCTTCAATATTAAGAAATACACCTAATGTTCGGTTTAGCAAAGCAGTAGTGAGCATTGCCCAGTACATTGTGGCATCTGATGGTAACATTCCTGTGAATAGTAAAGACAGACCCACTGACCTATGTGTCTCACATGCTAGAATCCGTGCTGAGCTAGGTTCTTGCTCTATGCAAAGTTTGTTGCTCAACAGAGGTCTAGATTTTCACCTGCATTTGATATTCAAGAACTGGTATTTCTTTATCTTCTGTTGGTCCAAACTGGCAGCGGGTAGCTGAGAAGCGAATTGCTATTGATATGGCAAGCTTTAAATTGATCACAGACATGGCTATGATTATAACCCTTCCATTGGATAAAGCACCAAGGGAAGCTCCTAAATGTTGCTTGCGATCCTGGAGAAATAAAATAGTACAAACAGGAAGGTGTTAAATTAATAACTTTATAAAGCATTTTATATCAACAAACTTTCCAAGTATGCCAAGCATTTATACTGAAAGGATAATGCAGTGCTTTAGATTCTTAATCTTCATGTAGTGAAATAAGCTTTGATGAAAATCCTCCAGTGAGCATGTGAGAATGAGCTAAAAGGATTAGTGAAGAAGAATCCTTTGCAAACAGAGATAAAGTTTGAGTATTAAGCACATTTGTGATAATTGAGCACAATTCATACCTTGAATGCCCTTATATATACTCCCTCAGCTGTGACATCTCCAGTTTGGTTCAGCAAATTCTCTTTTGGTATCCTGACATTGTGAAACATGGCAAACCTGCCAATTAAAAATAGTTCAGTTTAGAGGGCAGTGTCCTGTTGTGCTTGTGTGCCAGTGGGACTAATGACTGTTACAACAGGAAACAAGTGGTCCTAGAAGCAACACAAAATGAGTAAAAAATCCTTGTTTCTGGAATGCAGCAGATCAGCAGAGCAGCTTATAATTTGGAAATGAGCATTTTCATTGCTTTCTGGGGTTACTTCTAGAAATTACAATTCCCAGTAACACAAACAGTTATTTCCTGCTGGCATAGCACAATCAGTGAACGTAGAATTCAAACACCTAAGCATATGAACAGACATTTTTTTCAGCTTTCTTGCCTACAGATACAATAATGATGGTACTCATTTCTAAAAAAAATGTCCCCAAACCACAGGGTTAGAAGGGGAATCCCTCCCTCTCAAAAGCAAAAAGCAAAAATAGTTTAAAAGACTCCCTTTATGAAAAACTGCAGTATCTATCCCTCTGACATTTTCAGGTTTCTTTCTTAGGATCATTTCTATAATGTATGTCATTTTCATAATAATTGCCAAGAAAGGGGGAAAACTATGGGTTATTGCTTTAAAAAGTCAAAATGTAAAGGGTACTTGCACAAAATCACATTTGAAATTGGAAATTGTATTCACACGAAGGGTGCTACCATGCTTGCAAATTTCATCCATGTCTATCAAAAACAAAAACTCCCAAAAGATTATAGCCATCTGTTGATTTCCCAATGCAACAACGAAGTAACAGTTCTGGATTTCCTAAAAAAGTGCGAACCTGAGCCTAATCAGGCAATCTCTAAAGTGATCTGAGCCCAACTAGGTTGCTTTCCAAATAATATATTATATTGGTTAATCCTTGTATAACCCCTGATGACATGGTTTGGATGACATGGCAATCACCTGTTAGCATATTCATGGCTGGCATTAGAGGTTAAATAATCCAAAATGCAGTATCATGTTGCAAACTGGCCCAGAAAGAAAGCAAAGCATTAATGCCCAAAGCAAAGAGACAAGGAGGCCCATTTTATATGATCACTATGGTTTAAGGGAACTATGATGGCTTGTTTAAGCCACAGTGATCAAGCAAACCAGGGGATGGAGATGGAAATTAAAAACATGGAACTTAAATCAGACTTATAAAACTGGGTTTGAACTAACAAGAATAAGCCAAAGGTCACAACCAATAGATTCTTGGAAAGGATGAGGATTTTAGGCTATGGCTGGATTGGAAAGCACTTTTAGGAAAGGATTGGCTGCAATATGGAAGAAAACTGCCAGTTGGAGTAAGAACACAGGCAACAAACTTCTACGATGCAGTGAAGGGCTGGCAAGTTGGTGAGGGATTTCTAGGGACAGGGCATACATGCTTGCACACATCCCCTCTGAGCTGGAATGCGACAGTTTGGTGTATACTCACCCATTATCTAAACCATTCTGTCCGAGTTTCCTTCCTATATCACCAACTAGCACTCCAGGCATAGGAAGAAGTGTTTTTGGGTCTCGAATCTGTAAAAAAAGTCTCATTACATTCTCATGAAATATTTCAAATTTATGAAAACATTTAGAACAAGTTACTAAAATATCCTTCAGTTCAAGTTATGAAAAACTCTGTACAGATTTTTGTATTATAACTATGCTATGGTCTAATAAAATGCATGAAAAGAGACCGATGAGAGTGGCCGATCTTTGGTAGAAAATTGTATTTTCTTTTGTTCGTTAGAATATTGCAAGCTTCATTGAACAGATTAAACACTATACAGATGTTGCAATACTTGAATTTTCTAGTAACAGCAAGCATGGTATTTTTTTCTCAAATCGTTTTATGAAATGTGGTGTTCATTTATGGAATTATACTATGCAAATGACACAATGATAAAATTAATGAACCGTTCTTACCTGTACAACAAAGGAATGCAATCCATGACACTGCCCATCTGGAGTATACAACTGAGCATAAACAACTGCATGCGTTGCATTCTTCCCCATGTTGCCAACCCAAAACTTGGCAGCTTCAAAATCAGGTGAGTGAATAACAAATTCCTACCAGTTGAGAACACAAAACATATGAATCAATTATCAAAGTACAAAACTGAAAGCATCTATTATTATTTCTACTTTATGTGGTAAATGTGTAAAACAGAAACACAAAGGAAAATATTCTTACAGGAATTCTTATTAGAGCCCAACAAAATGTAATCCTAACAGTTAGAAGTGGATGTAAATGCCACATTACCATGTGTCTATCAGATAATTAGGCATGGCAAAGAGGCATGCTTCAGCAAAGCTACATTAGTCAGTATGGACCCAGGCTGCAAATCTTGTTAGCAAATCATGGATTATTTAACCTGTGATTTGTGGGGATAAGTGCTATACACAAGCAGCTTCAGCTTCCTGTAAACAATGTCCCACTGACACATTTGGTTTTGCCAGCGAAACAAGCAAAACCAGACTGCTAGGTCCTTCAGGTGCTAAACAACCCAGTGGTTATCCTATGGCTTCCGCATAACCCAGCAGTCTAGGTTTGCATGTCAAGCTGACATACTTGATTACATTACTGAAGCTTGCTTTCAGCAAGTGGGGCATGGATTCCAAATTTAACCCATAATTTGCCATTGTTACAAGTTCTAACTTAATCAAAACAGAGAAATTACTGATATGCATAACAGGATAATTGCCGTAGTAGTGTGACATGATAATAATCTTGCATTTATTTGCTTGTTTGTTTGGAATACTTGTGTGCCACCTCATTTGCATAAGCCTCAGGGCGGCTTCCAACACATAAATAAATATAGATCTATACAAATGCATAAAATACTGGAGACTTCCTGGCATAAAAATTTAAAATCAATAAATAAAATTAACAATTAAAATAACATTTAAATAAAAAGGTCTTGGCCTGGCGCCGAAAAACAAATAACGACGGCGCCAGGCAGACCTCTCTGGGGAGCGCGTTCCATAAATTGGGTGCCACTGCAGGGAAAGCCCTCCTCCGGGTACACACCCTCCTAATATCTTTCATGGAGGGTTCCTGGAGAAGGGCCTCTGCTGCTGATCTCAAGGGGCAGGAGGGCACATATGGATGCAGGAGCTCCTTTAGGTAACCAGGTCCCAAGCCATTAAGGTCTTTGTAGGTGATAACCAGCACCTTGAATTGGGCCCAGACTTCAATGGGGAGCCAGTGAAGCTGACAGAGGACTGGAGTTATATGAGCACAACGTCCAGTCCCCGTCAGCAGCCTGGCAGCTCTAATTTGCACCATCTGAAGTATCCAGACCGTCTTCAAGGGCAGCACCACATAGAGCGCGTTATTTTTGACTACTACAGTGGCACCTCGGCTCACGAACACCTCAGTTCACAACAAAATCAGGTCACAAACAAAAATTTCATAAAAATTTTGACTCAGGTTGCTAACTCTGCATTGGGTGGCCACCGCAATGGCAGCCATCTCCCTACCCCCCCCCCCCCGAATGGAAAAATGGCCACGATTGCAGTCGTGTTCATGCAGGGAAGACAGGTGCGATCACGGTCGTGCTCGTGGGGTGGGTTGGGGAGATGGCTGCAATTGTGCTGGGGGCGAGATGGCCCAGATTGCACCCATCTTTCCTGCACGAGCGCATCCGTGATCACCCATCTTTCCTGCACGAGCACAACTCCCCTCCAGTACAATCACACCCGTCTCCCCCTGAGCACACCTGTGATTGTGCCCGTCTCTCCCCACATGTGCCCGCAACTGCGCCCATCTCCCTCCCCCCACTCCAAGCACGCCCACGAGCGTGCCTGCTTATGGCCACGATCGCAATCGTGCTCGTGATGGGGGGTGAGGGGAGATGGCCGTGCTCATGCTCGGGGGGCGGGGGGGATGGCCATGATCTTTGTTGTTCTTTGACACTTCGCTTCAAATTTTTCTGATTAAAAAAAAAAAAAGTTACAGAACGAATTAACCTTATTTACATTGAACCTTATGGGGAAATTTGACTTAGCTCATGACCAGTTTGGGTCATGATCAGAGTCCTGGAACAGATTAAGTTCATTAGCCAAGGTACCACTGTACTTTGTTTCAAGTGACTAGAAAAAAAGGCCACGAAAAGATGTGCAGGAGTATACATTCAATCAGCATGATGTATTGTCAAGTTGGGAAGATTTAGGCTATGCCTAAATTAAGTGCACTTTCCCACAACTTCCCATAGCAGCACCCCAGCCCTGAAAATGCATGGAGACCTGCTTCACATGTAATGACAACCTATCTTTTAAAAAAGCCATTACGGTGTCAGGTCAAGCTATGTCATTAGGGATAGCTAACAACAAGCCATGGCATAATTACAGACTATTTATCCCCTAAATAACCAAGCAATCTGGGCTTGAATGCTGCACTTAGCAGGAGATAATAGTGGGTTACTGAGTAAAAGTGGAAGGGGCAGGTAGGTCACAAGCAAGTCCCCTCTTTCTTGCCCCTGGCAACCCATTGGTTTTTTAACCAACGTGTTGTTATTACATGAGAACAGCCTGAGTATTTGGAATCCTACTAAATGGAGTGAGTTGTGTGGGTAGTGATGGAGCCCCCAAAACTCAAATGTGCTTCAGACAGGGAGGGAAGGAAGCAGGCATACTATTAGAATAAATTATATCCTTGTGGGCCCCATCTTTTCCTCTCCTGACACCTTGGGAGTTCATTCTTATGACCTCAGAGAAGAAGCCAGTGCAAAAGGAAGAGGGGGATCAGAGCATGGATCCCAGGCTCCAAGTTTAGAGTTCTTTTTCAGATGAGGAACTGGACCTCCAAAGTCAAGATGCTGTCTAGGGGCCACAGAAGTGCTCCATAAATAGCTTTGGCAGGTTCAAATATGTCACAGATTAGAGTACTAAGTAATAAACTGTTAATGACAAAATAGTAAAGGTGAATGTCAGTGGATAGCATGCTAACCTGTGTAGCTGGGTCATATCTAGCACTAGTCCGTATATTCTTTGTGTTGCTACCATGGCTTACTTCAGTTAGAGCAAAACATCCAAAATTCTGTAGGTAAAAATACACAAAATTAAGTTTAAGATTAAATTAAGCTCAAGTTGGAATATTACAAAAGTTAAATAAATGAAGGCTCTCAAGTGTAATAGAGCTACATGGTGACTTCAACTTAGAATCTTCCAGCAGTGCATTTGTAAGTTCTTAACATATGACTCAGGATTCATGTCTTGTCCTGTAGCTGCCCTTTGGCTTCACTCATTCTAGAGAAAGCACGTGTACTTTGGCACCAGAAACAGGGGCTGAGCCTGGTCATTCTCTGGCCAAAAAGTCTCCACACTGAGTCCTGAACTTATATTGCACAGCAGGTTAGTCCTTGGCTTTTCCAGGTTCTCCTGGGGTTTGGAAGGAGAGGCAGAGGGCTTGAACTCAATATATACTGATAGATATTAAACTCACAAGCACTCACCCTTTAGGAGTAAGTCTGAGGCAAGGATAAGGGTTAACTGCAGGTTACTTCAGCAATAAAAAAATCCATATTCTTGTCAATAGCTATATATATCAAGAAGTTGGGGATGTGCTAATAAATATACAAATCCAAATTAGTGTGCTGCTGGTTGGAATGTGTAAATTATCTTTGATGCTTTAGTATTTAATTATTTTTAAAGCCAATTAAATTAGATCCAGAGAAATATTTTCAAAAGATATTATGAATATTTTAATAAATACTTAAAAGAAGTACCTCCATATTTTCATTCTGTTTTATAAATTCACCATGTCTTTCAGAGCCTGCACTTTGAATTGTACCTTTAAACACCTGTAAATATCAAATGATATGAATGAGTAACAGAAATATTTAGAAATGGACAAAGACAGAAAAGGGCCTTAATGAAATCTTCAAGAATGTTTGAAGGTGATAATGCAACACTGCTTGCAAGCAGAATCCAATAGATTATTGGTCTCCAACCTCCTCCCCATGTATTCAGTGGCAACAATCATAGCAGATGTAAGAAAAAACTAGTTTCTGCTTTACTTTTTTCTTCTAGTTTCAGTTACATAGTGTAGTGAAATATGCAAGAGAATCAAAATACCTAGAATACTTTCTTGTTCTCAAACAATGTGAAAATCAGCTAAGTGTACAACTAGAAGGATGGGGATGAAAAAGGAGCCAATGGGAAGAGTTGGTAAAATTCTGAAAACTGGCTCTCCACATAGTCCCTGTGGAAGAAGCCTGAACTCCCACTGGCTGCTGTAATAAGAGAGGGCATTTTGGCAAGCCACTTCTACATGTTCCAGAGCCAAGAGACAAAACACTTAAGTTACAGGAAGCCAGATTCCAGCTAGGTATCAGGACTGTTAGAGAAGTATGGCAGTGCAACAAATGCCTAGGGAGGTCATGAGCTCTCCTAAACTGGAGGAATTCAAGAGGCAATTGGACAATCATCTGTAAGGGATTCTTTGAAGTGAGGTCCTACACTGACTAGGGAGTTGAACTCGATGGCCTTATAGGCTCCTTCCCTAGTATTCTATGATTCTGTGATTAAGGCCATATGAATAGCTTTCAATTAACAAAGTACACATTTTTAATATACCATTTATTGTACTTCTATTCATTCTGCTAGCTAAATCACTATAAAAAAAAATGCCATGCTGAACATTGTCATTGGGTGAGCTTTAATTCCCAGAACAGAATACTTTCTTTAAAGTTACTTCAACTGATTGGAAAATGATGACAGCTATCCCAGGACTGCAGAGCTAACTGATGAACTATTTGTTAAATGAAACCCCAACTGAATAATGGATTTAATTAGATTCACATGATGAGCTCACTAACTTAATAATGGATTATTTATGTTACTGCCCTTTGTTAATGGTGGACAAGTGTTCTTGGGTAAATCTCCTGTGAGGATATCAAGAACAATGATCACACTGCTATACTTTAGAACAGAAGGGCTTCTGGTGTCAAAAGGAGTTGGAGAAAGGGCTTTCTGTTCATCAAGAGCTGGTCTGCTCTGCAAGAGATCAATGCACTGCTACCCTCTGGTGGCAGAATAATGACAATATTCATTGCTAAGGAGTTAAGCCCCTTAGGAAAGCCTTTTTCTAAGCTAAGGCGGGAAAAGGTACTGAACAGAGAAAAGTTTTTCTCATTGTTACAAAGGAGGTAGGGCCAAGGCCACCCAAAGATGCTGCCAGGCTAGATGGGAAGGCCCACTGGCCTGAGATTCCACATCCAGGAGATCTGCCTGGAGGCTTCCTGTCCTGGATTACAAAAACCCAAACTTGTGTCAACTCAGCACAATGATTTAGTGAACATTTTATGAGAAGAGGACAGGGATCTGATGATCACTACAGTATTGTCCTGTATAGCCCACTCAAAGAAAATGGATTTCTTAGCCAACCTCAAGCACAGATTAGTTCTCAATGGCATGGGAATCTAGGACTTCCAGAACTTCTCCACACTATTTCATTAAATCTGATGAACCACTACTCACTTAGGCAAAAAAGCAGCTGATACCCAAATAGATAAACATAGTTGTTCATTCATTTGTTCATATTCCGCTTTTCAAAAGGACTGTGCCTATAGCACCTCACAACATATCAAATGAACAGCAGCAAATATAACAGTGCAAAATCAGAACATGAACAACTACAGATAACCATGATTCCAAAATCTGTGTTCATTTTGTTCTTGGCCAACATGGCTTCCACTCCCTCTTGTATTAAAAATAACTTTAGTCTCAATCAGTACGTACATGATTATTAACAAATCAGTCTAATTATAAAATAAAACAATAATTCTAACACTATGCCTTAAATGCAAATGGGAATGAGAGTAAAACTAACAGAAATAAAGTATCTGACATACAGGCTGATCAGCTCTTCAATCTGCTCTAATCCAGCACCTTGGAGTCTGCACACTGCTAAAATATGATATCAACATTTTAAACTACAGTATGAGGAAGAAAAATAAAACAAAAATCTATATTTAAATTACATTAACACATGTAAAAGAACAGATACTGAGCTTCTTGGGAAAGTAATAAGGTTCCAAACAGAGCACAATGTGGGCACCCGATGGGCTCATTCCACAACTGCGGTGTCACAATGGAAAAGGCCCTCTTCATAGCCACTCACCTCACTTCCTGAGGCAGGGGCTCCCTTTTGAGGAATCACGCAGATTCTTTTTACCAAGCACACAGCTCAGAACTGTCTTTGTAAGTGTTGTCCAGACTTACTTGCAACATGGTGTGTGGCAGTACTACTTAAGGGCAGTGTCAGAAACACCTGGAGCAGAATAGGTTGGAGTTAAGCTCCCTCAGTACAGAAACTCTCCAATTTCACAGGTTGGAAGGCAGGAAGGATAGCGGTCTTAGCAAGCAACGGAGAGCACCAATGTTCCTCTAAAGCACCGCAGACTGAATTATCATACCCAATTTCAGAGAAAGTGTGATGTTTGTGGACAAGGAAGGAGCAAAATCAGTGACAAAAAAGAAAGGACAAAAAGGGGGTGGAGTTGCACTGTATGTGAGAGACACACATACCTGCACAGAAATTCAAGAAGAAGTAGCCCCAGTGAAAGCCTCTGGCTAAATTTAAAGGGAGCAAAAATAAGAAAAACATAGTTTTTGGCATGTATTACCGTCCACCCAGTCAAAAAGAGGGCAAGGATGCAACCTTCGAAAAGCAACTCGCCAGCATTTCCAAGAAGGATGCTGTAGTCATAATGAGGGACTTCAATTTCCCTGATATATGCTGGGAGACAAATTCTGCCACACATGGCCCCACCAAGAGATTCCTGACATGTTGCTGCCAACTTTCTCCAGCAGAAAGTAGAGGAAAGTATGAGAGGATCAGCTGATCTCGTTTTAATACGAACAGGAATGGCCTGGTGGACAAAATAATAAGTGTAGAAGACAGCAGAGGAAGCCGACATGGCTCCACAAAGGGTTAAGTGACAGACTGAAAGAAAAAAAAGAACATGTACAGGAAGTGGAAACAGGGCCAGGCCACAAAAGAATATAAACAAATAGCAAGGAATTGCAGAAATTGCATCAGGAAGGATAAAGCAGAAAATGAGCTAAGAATAGCAAGGGATGCTAAGCACAACAAGAAAGCCTTCTTCAGATCCATCCAGAACAAATGACATAAGAGAAGGATGTCCAGCTACTTAAAGTGGGTGGCAGAGTGATAACAGATGACAAAGAAAAGGCAGAGGCGCTCAATTCCTACTTTGCTTCAGTCTTTTCCCACAAGGAAATCTGAATCAAGAGGAAGTTCAAGCTGAAAGTAAAGAGATGGCAGCCCAAGATTGACAGACAAGGATTGGTCAAGGAACACCTAGGTGGAATAAATACTTTCAAATCTCCAGGGCCCAATAACCTCCATCCCAGAGTCATAAAAGAGCTAGCAGAGGAACTCTCAGAACCACTGGCTTTTGTCTTTGATAAATCTGGGAAAACAGGAGAAGTGCCAGATGACTGGATAAGGGCTAATGTTGTCCCTGTCTTCAAAAAGGGAAGAAAAGATGAACCTGGGAACTGTAGATCAGTTAGTCTGACATCAATCCCTGGAAAAAGTATGGAGGAAATAATTTAAAAATTCATCTGCATGCATCTTGAAGAAAATGCAGTAATTAATAGAAGTCAGCATGGATTTATCAAAAATAAATCCTGTCAGACTAATTTAATCTCATTTTTAAACTAGGTAACTTCCCAAATGGACAAAGGGAACACTGTGGACATAATCTACCTTGACTTTAGCAAAGCTTTCAACATAGTGCCACACGACATTCTGATAATCAAATTAGCAAAACTGGACTAGATGGAAAAACTATTGGGGGATCCAAAATTGGCTGCTAAATTGGTCACAAAAAGTGATAATCAATGGCACCTTCTCAAATTGGATGGCGGTAACTAGTGGGGTGTCACAGGGATCAGTCCTGGGCCCAGTGCTCTTCAACATCTTTATTAACGATTTAGATGAGGAAGTACAAGGAAAGATACTCAAATTCGCAGATAATACAAAACTGGGTGTAATAGCAAACACCCTAGAGCAGGGGTCCTCAAACTAAGGCCCGGGGCCGGATCCGGACCGCCATGCCCATTAGGACCCACCACATCCACACGCATGCCTGCCGTCGCCCACCTCACTCTGCACGCAGTTTACTCGCTTGGAGAAAACGATTTCCAAGTGAGCAAGCTGCTGCCTCGTGCACCTGCCTCGTGGCGCGTGCCTTCCCCCACTTTGCCTCGCCTCACTGCATGTGCCCGCCCACACCTCGCCGCGCCCCCCGCCCCCACCTCAGTGCGTGTGCCCCACCCCCGCGCCAGCCAGCATGCACCTCCGGCACCGCCTTTCTGGCCCGCGCTCAGCGCCGGCAGCTTTCGACTGGCCCCTTGGTAAAAAAGTTTGAGGACCCCTGCCCTAGAGGAGGGCAATCAAGAGGGCAATCTTGATAAACTTGAACACTGAGCTGAAACCAACAGAACGAAATTCAATACGGACAAGTGCCAAGTTCTCCACCTAGGAAAAAGAAAGCAAATGCATCGATACAAGAGGGGGAATTTGTGGCTCAACAGAAATGAACAAGAAAAAGAAATTGGAGTAATTGTGGACAATTGGCTAAACATGAGCCAACAATGCGATGCAACTGCCAAAAGGGCAAATGATTTTTTGGGCTGCATTAACTGATGTATTACTTCCAAATCACAGGAAACAGTAGTTCCTTTATACTCCGCACTAGTCAGACCTCACCTGGAATATTGTGTCCAGTTCTGGGCACCAACATTTAAGAAAGATGCAGGTAAATTAGAAAGGGTCCAGCAGAGGGTGACAAAAATGATCCAGGGTTTGGAAACACTGCCCTATGAGGGAACTGGGCATGTTCAGCCTTGAGAAGAGAAGACTGAGGGGGGACATGAGATCCCTCTATAAGCACCTCAAAGACTGTCTTTATACAAATTCTTTATATCACAAAGAGGAAGGTCAAGATCTCTTCTTGCTAATGCCAGAATGTAGGACACAGAATAATCAATCCAAGTTGCAGCAACCCAGATTCAGGCTGGACCTCAGGAAAAGCTTTCTCACAGTCAGGGCAATACAACAGTGGAACCAACTGCCTAGAGAGGTGGCGGGTGCTTCCACACTGGAGACAGTCAAAAAGAACCTGGACAGCCATCTGGAGGAGCTGGGTGCACAATTCCTGCTCCGGACACGTTGCATGCTATCCCCACGACTGATTCAATAACATAGAACAGAAACATGCACAGCTAACATCACATTTACCTCTCAGGTTCTGTTATGTCTTATATTGTATCAAAAGCAGAAACACAGGAAGAAACTCACAGTAGGTAGTAGATCATGATGTCAGGTGGAGATTTAGCCTGTATAAGAGCTGTGCACACAGGATTGTCTAAATAAGAGTACTGTAGCAAGATCATGCACAGTTCTTTACATCATTAAACCAAAGTGGGTGAGGTGGCAGCACTCTTGCTGCTAATGAATGGCTAAGGCTTCCTTTGTACCTTTGCAGCTCTAAAGGTGTTTGGTTCCACCTTTAGAGCTCTAAAGGTGTTTGGTTTGAAAACTAACTTCAGTTTAAATCCAAGAAGAAAGAGTGCCAGCATTAGCTTCAAAAAGAATTGGACCAGGTCCTGAATCAGCCCTGACAATGCTGATGCTAAAAAATGGCAGTTAAATCTATTTTCAGACAGATAATTGAATGATTCAAAATTGCTGGCTTGTGATATCAGATTCACATATCCAAATAATGAAGTTTTAAAAAAAAATCACATAAAAAGAGGGAAAAACAATAAAATGTCTTAGTCAGGAAGACACCTGGAATGGTTAAGATGCCAGACAGAACATCTTTGAAAGCTTCTGAAAAACAAACTTGAAATACTTCATAAATGGGCTTAAGTAAAGCTACTCTGAGGCTTATACATATATTGCACATACCTGGAAGTTTAGCAAATATTTAGCTGCAAGAGACCAATCATACATCCCCAGACAAGTAACCAGCACCATGAATTTTAATGGTTTCTCCATCATCTCTTCCAGCCTTAGAAAATCATATTCGAAAAGTCTCCTACAGCGAAGGAATGTTAGCTCACGGTATTTCTCAAGGGATATTTCTTGTCCAGGGAGACGGGCAAAGAGAGGATCATTTTCGAGAGTTGAGAATATTCTGTGCTTTATGGAAGAAAAATATCAGAATGCTTGAACAAGTCAGGTATGCATTTTCCAATGAGATGAAATATACCTACTATTTTGTACATTAATATCAGTTTAATTTGTAACATTAATATATTGGTAGCAAATTCTTTATATCACAAGTGGCATAAAGGGATAAAACATTTGAAAAGGAGTTAAACTTACTCATATGTATGAACGAAATTACAGAAAATACCATTCAAGGCTACAATAATCAGATTGTACTATGGATAAAAGAGATTGCGTCCAAATTTTATTGATGTAAAAGCCTTTGATCTTTGCTTTTTAAAAAGTCTTAACCTGAAGGTAAAGAGCACAGAGGTTTCACAACATAGGGTGTACTTTGTGCCCAGTTTAGTTGGGTAAACAAGAGAATTCAGCACAAAGGTTGTATCTCCAGATTTTGAACATGAAAGGGGAACATAAGAAGTCTCTTTCTTAAGAAAAAAAATGGGTGGGCAATACTGCAACAAAGAGAAGTTGCAAAGTACACAAATATCTACTGTAAGTTATCATATGTGTTTTAACTTAGCATCTCCAGTAAATTAATCATATATGCATTAGGATAAAAAAAACTTTAGATGAGTATGAATGTGCTTACAAATTCACTTATGCATGCAAAAACCATGGTGATTACAAACAGAGGCAACAAACTAGAAATATGAGAATATTTTTAGTACCCACAAAACACTCAAACATACTCCATTTGCAACCCTGAATGTGGATGTGAGGAGAAGGTATTCACTGAAAATATATGCAAATGCGCATTCATATTTGGAAATATGTGATTTCAAAAAGAGTTTGAAATTGCACAATTAAATGCTAATCAAATGCACCACTACTTACTATACTAATGCTAAGTACTAATTAAATGTTTTAATTTCTGAGGGGAAATTTCTCAACTATGAAAATTATGCAATATTTTCCCACAGTTTTCACATTCAGTTTGCACAAGTTTCCTATTAGCACAAATCAAAAGGACATTACAAATGCTTGTGGTAAATGGGGAGGAAAACAGGAACCTGAAGTTTAGAGAATCTGGCCACTTGGTCTCTTATCTCTACAGTAAAAAAAAAAAAATCTGAAGTCCTGCATATTGTGTCTGCTTACAGCTTAAGGTTTCGAGGCTACATTTTCTCCTAGTCTTTCAATCCCAATCATCTTTCTCTGCAAAATGTCAGAATCCTGGACATCCACAGCAATGATGGCTATTTAATTGTATAGCTTATCCTCTTTTATATTTTTAAGACCGCCCCCCCCCCATACATTTTACTTTGAGTTACACAGAAAGGCATATATTAATAGTAGTGTGATGGTGAGAATCTAAGCAGAAAAGGCATAGATCAATTGAAAATTTGCTAGTGATGTCTGTTCTTTGGAACTTTTTACAGTTGTAGTTTAGTTGGGAGGCTTTGAATCAAGGAGTTTTACATTGTTGTTGTTGTTATTTACTATTATTTTGTCATCAGTAAGTGGCAGTAATAGAGCCGTTGGCTTTGCTTCGCCAATAAACACCAGAAGAAGAAAAACTAAAAATTCAGTGGGACACAAATGGAGTCTTGGAAACATGTCTGCAAAAAGGGAGAGCCAAGAGAAACATTCAGAAAGGTGACCATGGTGTTTTATAGACCAACAAATGTATTATCATATAACTTTTGGTGTACTAGTGTCCACTTCATTTGATGGCTCATGTATCTGATAAAGTAATGTATCTGATCTGATGCATCTGATAAAGTAAAGTTGACTCCACAAAAGTTTATGCCATAAGATAGGGTACCCCAAGACTGTTTGTTTGTTAATGAGGAATGGCCTTTGCAACAGGTTGGCTCCATTAAAGTTTCTACTTTACAAGATGAGCAGAAAGGACTCAGGTCTGATAATGCCTGACTTGTTTGCTTGTTATACTTTTAGTCAAATGCAAAAAAGCAGCACTTACTACCTCCTCTCTTTGTGTGCAGCTTCATGATGAAACAAGCAGCACTTTGTTCTCTCCACGTTCAGCAGGAATACTGGAGAAAGCTGCCATGCTGTGCTGCGTGTTACCTGACCGACTCACGCTCACGGACTGGGGAGCTGGCATATAGTGGGGAAGGGGCTGCTCAGCTTTACTTCTGCTTGAAAAAACGGGGCTGAACAGCTGGATCCTTCTTGCTGCCACCACTGCCGTCCTTTGGCTGTGGCAAGTCACTCAACTTGCTTCTTCTCAATGGATCCCACCCACTGCCACTGCTGTACCTTCCTCAACCTAGATGTTGCTGTTGCTGCTGCTAGTCGCGAAGTCGCATCCGACCCATCGCGACCCCATGGACAACATTCCTCCAGGCCGTCCTGTCCTCCACCATCCCCTGGAGTCCATTTAAGCTCACACCGACTGCTTCTGTGACTCCATCTAGCCACCTCATTCTCTACCATCCCCTTCTTTCCCCGTCAATTGTTCCCAGCATTAGGCTCTTCTTCAGTGAGTCCTTCTTTCTCATTAGGTGGCCAAAGTATTTGAGTTCCATCTTCAGCATCTGGCCTTCTAAAGAGCAGTCAGGGTTGATCCTCTCTAGGACTGACTGGTTTGATCACCTTGCGGTCCAAGGGATTCGCAGGAGTCTCCTCCAGCACCACAATTCAAAGGCCTTAATTCTCCAGCGCTCAGCCTTCCTTATGGTCCAGCTTTCGCAGCCATACATCGCAACTGGGAAAACCATAGCCTTGACTATACACACTTTCTTTGGCAGGGTGATGTCTCTGCTTTTTAGTATGCTGTCTAGATTTGCCATAGCTTCCCTCCCAAGGAGCAGGCGTCTTTTAATTTCTTGGCTGCAGTCACTGTCTGCAGTGATCTTGGAGCCCAGGAAAATAAAATCTGTCACCACCTCCATTTCTTCCCCATCTATTCGCCAGGAAGTGAGAGGACCGGATGCCATGATCTTAGTTTTCTTAATGTTGAGTTTCAAGCCAACTTCTGCGCTCTCCTCCTTCACCCGCATCAAGAGTCTCTTTAGTTCCTCTTCACTTTCTGCCATTACAGTGGTATCATCTGCATATCTGAAGTTGTTGATATATCTCCCAGCAATCTTAATTCCAATTTGTGATTCATCTAGCCCCATCTTTCTCATGATGGACACTGTATATAAGTTAAATAGGCAGGGCAACAGTATACAGCCTTGTTGAACTCTTTTCTCAATTTTGAACCAATCAGTCATTCCGTGTCCAGTTCTCACTGTTGCTTCTTGACCCACATATAGGTTTCTCAAGAGACAAATAAGATCGTCTGGTACTCCCATCTCTTTAAGAACTTAGCACAATTTGTTGTGATCCACACAATCAAAGGCTTTAGCATAGTCAATGAAGCAGAAGTAGATGTTTTTCTGGAACTCCCTAGCTTTCCCCATGATCCAATGTATGTTGGCAATTTGATCTCTAGTTCCTCTGCATCTTCGAAATCCTGCCTGTATTTCTGGTAGTTCTTGGTCCACCTACTGCTGGAGCCTAGCTTGTAGGATTTAGAGCGTAACTTTGCAAGCATGTGAAATGAGTGCAATGGTGCGGTAGTTTGAACATTCTTTGGCATTGCCCTTCTTTGGAATCGGAATGTAAACTGACCTTTTCCTATCCTGTGGCCACTGCTGAGTTTTCCAACTTTGCTTGCATATTGAGTGTAGCACTTTTACAGCATTGTCTTTCAGGATTTTGAATAGCTCAGCTGGAATACTGTCACCTCATGTCACTAGCCTTGTTGTTGCTCAGACTTCCTAACGTTAATTTGACTTCACATTCCAGGATGTCTGGCTTGAGGTCAAGGACCACCCCATCATGGTTATCAGGGACGTTAAGCAATTTCTTGTATAGTTCTTCTGTGTAATCTTGCCAACTCTTTTTAATTTCTTCTGCCTCAGTTAGGTCCCTGCCATTTTGGTCCTTTATCATGCCCATCTTTGCATGAAACATTCCCTTCATATCTCCAATTTTCTTGAGCTCTTTGGTCTTCCCTATTCTATTGTTTCCTTCTATTTCTTTGCACTGTTCATTTAAGAAGCCCTCCTTATCTCTTCTAGCTATTCTCTGGAATTCTGCATTCAATTGGGTGTATCTTTCTCTCTTGCCTTTCGCTTTTCTTCTTTCCTCAGCTATGTGTAAATCTTCCTTAGACAGCCATTTTGCTTTCTTGCATTTCTTTTTCTTTGGGATGGTCTTTGTTGCTACCTCTTGTACAATGTTGCGAACCTCCATTCATAGTTCTTCAGGCCCTCTGTCTATCAGATCTAACTCCTTAAATCTATTTGTCACCTCTATTATACATTCATCAGGAATATGATTTAGGTCATACCTGAGTGGCGTAGTGCTTTTCCGTACTTTCTTCACTTTAAGCCTAAATTTTGCAACAAGAAGCTCATGATCTGAGCCACAGTCAGCTCCCAATCTTGTTTTTACAGACTGTTTAGAGCTTCTCCATCTTTGGCTGCAGAGCACATAGTCAATCTGATTTCTGTGTTGACCATCTGGTGATGTTCATGTGTAGAGTCTTCTCTTGGGTTGTTGGAAAAGAGTGTTTGCTATGACCATCGTATTCTCTTGACAAAATTCTACCAGTCTGTGCCCTGCTTCATTTTGCTCTCCAAGGCCAAACCTGCCTGTTATTCTGGTTATCTTTTGGCTTCCTACTTTACCATTCCAATCCCCCATGATGGGGATCATGATGGGGACATCATTTTCGATATTAATTCTAGAAGGTGTTGTAGGCCTTCATAGTACTGGTCAACTTCAGTCTCTTCAGCATCAGTGATTGGAGCATAGACTTGGACTACTGTGATGTTGAATGGTTTGCCTTGGATTCGAACTGAAATCATTCTGTCATTTTGCAGATTGTATCCCAATACTGCTTTTCCTACTCTTTTATTGACCGTGAAGGCTACTCCATTTCTTCTGAGGATTCTTGCCCGCAGTAGTATACCTGATGGTCATCTGAATTAAATGCATCCATTCCTGTCCATTATAGTTCACTGATTCCTGAGATGCTGATGTTCAGTCTTGTCATCTCTTGTTTGACCACATCCAGCTTACCTTGATTCATAGAGCTTACATTCCAGGTTCCTATGGAGTATAGATCTTTACAGCATCAGACTTTCCTTTCACTACCAGATACATCCGCAACTGAGTGTCCTTTCGGCTTTGACCCAGTCACTTCATTCTTCCTGGTGCTACTAGTACTAGCCCTCTGCTCTTCCGCAGTAGCACACTGGATGCCTTCCAACCTGAGCTCATCTTCCGGCGTCATATCTTTTTGGCTTTTGGTACTGTCCATGGGTTTTCATGGCAAAGATACTGGAGTGGGTTGCCATTTCCTTCTCCAGTGGATCACCTTTTGTCAGAGCTCTCTGCTATGACCTGTCCTTCTTGGGTGGCCCTGTATGGCATAGCTCATAGCTTGAGCTACACAAGCCCCTTCACCATGACAAGGCAGTGATCCATGAAGGGGCAACCTAGATAATACCTTCCTATTTCTATTTTCTGCTTAATTTTATACCTATTTCTTTGAATGGCAAAAACTAAGATGACTTAGATTTGTATTTGTATTTCCATCTCTAACAGTAGGTATATGTACAAATTGTTAACCCTGCTCAGATGCCATTGAGACAGCACATTGTGCTATCAGACAGCAAATTGTGGACTAATTAAATGCAGTGATGCACACTATGAGTGAGCTGCTTCATGTATGCACTGACAACCCTCAAATGCCATCTCCAAGTTTTGTTTCTGTGAATGTTTGAACAGGGGAACCTTGAGTTGTTGGTAGGTTAAAGAACCCCCAATTAATTCAAGAACAAGCTATGGGTTAACTTGATTCATGTAAAAGCCCTAAGTGCCATTATTTGGATATTAGAGAAGCAGCACTTGAGGGTTGTTAATGCAAATAAGTGGCTTCTGTGGTTCAGGTTCAGCACATGTCCCTGCAATTTGTGGGTTAATTAATCCACAGTTTGCCACTGTGTGGTGTATATTGTCCAAACAGGACATTTTTCTGAATAAAATTGAAATAGTTATACTCTATATGTTTATAAGTTATACTCTATACTCTATATGTTTCTTAAATTCCATCAATATAGTAAACTATACAATTTCATAGTTTACAATTTTATCTGATAGCTAAGGTATACATAGTGCATTTAATATTCTTAAAAACAGCAACATTAGGATTGGTAAGAAAGTATTGTGTATATTTCAAATTTGATCAATTTTATTTGTGCTTTTATGGAGGTGGGAAACACCTCTCAAAGAGCAAACTTTTTCCTATATACAGCTTCAACTTTTCTGGAAATGTTCTATCTCTAGCCTAGTCCTGGACTGAAAACCTTATAACCAGAAACTTCACATGTACTGGTAGTATGACATGAATTGGTTTACTAACTGTCCCTATACACCGGTCAACAGAGTCAACAAGTGGCCAATCCATCAAGCACTGTACATGCTGATGCAGGAGAAACACGTCTCTCTTGATATAAGAAATCATGTAGATCCTTTACAACAACCATAATTCCCTAGTACATTGTGAGTAAGTGTTATCTACTGGGACTTTTAAGTATGTTTACAATTTTTACATTGATGCTGGAAGGTTTCTTTAAGAAATACTATGCAAAACTTTACCTTAAAATGGATGAGCTCTTCCTCCTCTAGAAATAGTGCCATCTCCTTCCAACTAAAGGATGCTTTCTTCCGGTAGGCACAGAGTGGCCCAAGGGGCAGGTCTGGAAGTAGCAATGTGTTCTGAGTGCAGACCCTTTCCAGATCATTGACTGAGTCCATCTTAACAAAAATGTTTGTTCTGGAAATAGTCGAGACTATTCAAAATAAATAAAAACTTGTTTTAATATTTTCACAAATATTTTTAAAGGATCATCCTCTCACTTCACAGCCAGGGGACCCTACACAGCCAATGGTTAAGAACAAGTTGATGTAGACAACCACAGATAAAAAGAGGACTTTTTCCATTTCTAATTTAGTAAAATTAGAAATTTGATCAGCATAACTTTAGTCCTGATCCAACCCTTATACACAAGTCCAAGGAAAGAAAGATGCACCACCCATCATAAAAACACAGTGCAGGGGGCAATGGAAAGAATGCACCCTAGAGCAGGCAGAGTATCTCATCCCTTACCAGAGAGCTGAAAATTCCCAACTCTCTTACTTGAAAGTTACTTAAAAATACTAGGTTATCAAGTGTTAAATGGCCACTGCATCTGCTATACACCTAGTCCCTTTCAGTTGTCAGCTGTTAGTGTAGCAATTTGTAAATGCCCTACATGCTGAATGAGGATGTCATTAACTGTAATCAATCCTCCCTTTTTTGGAAAGTAAGGGACATGGTCAGGCACATTTCAGACTGCCCAGTATGATGCTAAGTAGGCACTGCAGAAATCACCTGGAGGATGCAACATCAGATCTCACTAAGCTGCTTATTTCTCAGTTTGAATGCTGCTTTTGGGAGTTGCCAGCTCCCACAGAAATACTTATGATTGTGGGGGGAAAGGTTTCCTAGGGATTTCAAAGAAGCACCACTGGCAAAAATTAAAGCAGGGGCCCCAGGTGCTGGCCTCATCCTTTCATGTCTATGGGAGCTGCCTTGATGAGTTCTCAAAATCTTAGCAGCATATTAGAAGATGCTGCCTTCTACTGATTCCACCTATCCCAATACCATTGATGCTGACTGGCAGCAGCTCTCCAGGGTTCAGGCAGGGTTCTTTTCTCTTCCTTCCTGGAGATGCTGGGGATGAGTCTGAAGGCCTGCTGCCTGCAAAGCAATTGCTCAGCCAATGAACTCAGACAATTCCCAATCCCAATAAAAGTTAGTTAACAAATGTTATTTTTAGAGTAACTGGCTATTTCAGAATTTCTCTGTATTGTGAAAAGGTAACCCTCACATTTTCCAGTGTTTTTCTTACAACTTTTTTTTTAAGTGGGCAGGGAGAAGAGAACTTTGCCTACAGGTGCTGTGAACACCAGGTTAGAGACCTCTGAGCTACTGCAACGGAACTGAAGTGAGCCCTCGTGCCCAGCTGGATTCTGCCAATGCGTTGAACAGGGCTTGCTCCCAATTGTGCATGGATCCAAGCGAGCACAGATGCAGCTACGGCATGTCTGATCTTTCCCCCTTCCTCCTTCTTTCCTTCCCTGTTTCCAAGCATGCTATTTCTCTTTCTAACGAAAGTGCCCAGGAGTAGAAGGCGTCCTCCCCCGCTAGCGGGGATGCCCTAAAACGTCCGACGTTCGTGTGACGAGGCCAGAAATGCCACGATTTCCATGATTCCCGCATGGCCTCAGGTGCCAGACTGAAATCATGCCTTTCCCGCACTGAAGGAAGGAAGATTGGAGGGGACAACTCGCTCTCTTCCCTCTCCTCTGAATACTTTACCTGCCTGCCTCCGTCTTGCGGGACTTCCGTCCTCCCCTTTCTCTTCCAATCCCCGCTTGGTCCCGCCCCAAGCGCCGCATCACCGCGCCGCCGCCTCTTAAAGGTGCAAAGTCGTGTCTGGACAAATAAATAGCCAAAGGGAAATTGTCAATGTACCGCCGCCCCTCAGTGAGAACATATTAAAACAAAGGACAGAATTCAGTGTATTTCTGTTGCCGCTCTGAAGGAACCGTTGTAAACAATGTTCCCGCACCTTAAAGACTGAGAACTTTATTATGGAATAAGACTATGTAGGCTAGAGTTGACCTCAGTGGATGCATGCATTATTATTCTAAGACCACACGTACACATATATACGAGGGAGACCAGGAGGGAGCAGTGAGGATGCGAAACTAGTAATGCAGAATAAACGGACAATTATGTTCACGTTCGAAAGAATAAAATTGTGACAGTGGTCATTCACAAAGCAGAGTTGATAAACACTGACGTTCTCTTGGGTGTATACATCCACCAGCTAAGACTTGTTGATGAACCTTTCGGCCAGCCTTCCCAGCTGGTGCCCTGCAAATAGTATTGTGACTACAGCTTCCCCATTCGAGACCACTGACCATGATACTTAGGGATAATGGGGGTTGCAGTCCAACAATCTGAAGAGATAGGCTGACTTATGCCGTAACACATTTTTAAAGATGCTGCAAAGACTCTTTGCTGTCTAATATGGTTATCCTTCTGGAATTGTCATTCGTTTTAGTGGGTTCCAGAAATGCCATGCTTTTAAAAAGCTGCACATTGGATTCTTTTTCCAGTAGGGTAGAAATGACTAAGTTCTGCTACATTAGTACTTACGCTTGCATTGACAGACCGCAATTTTTAAAATCTTAAAATCACAATAAATAGCATCTTATCCAGAAACATGTTGATACTTAATCACGGTAATGTTAAAATGCTGGATTTCCGATTTTCATGGGAAAGGCTAAAAAAAAATTCTGCAATGAAAACTCGTAAATGCCCTACAGAGACATGAACTATACGGCTCTATTAGTCCTATCTCCTATTACTTTGTAAAGGAGTCTCACATTTGGACGTGACGTCATCTCCGCGCCTGCTAGTCCCGATCACGCACGTTGTCTGTCATGGAGCTTCTGGGAGAGACTCGTCTTGCGGACCCGCTTCTGCTGCTTCCTGGGGGCTTCTGGACGGCTGTGAATGTGTGGCTGGAGAAGCCCCAGGTAGCAAACAAGCGGCTGTGCGGCGCCCGCTTGGAGGAAGTTCGGAGGGTAGCCCGGCCTCGGCACGGAACAGACGGGAAGGGGACTGGCTCTGACGCTCGGCGGTCGGTGCTTGAGGCTGCCTGGGAAGCCTTCTGTTGCTCCGAGGACTGCAAGGCACTCGGTCTCATAGGCCCCGAGGAAGAAGGGGAGATGGAGGTGGTACTCAGGACCCTCGTGCCCAAAGGCAGCCCTTCCACGCCAGAGAAGGAGATGGTGGTAAAAGGTGACTTGACGGAGGAAAGCTCCCGGGCGGCTTTCCTGTTCCGCCTTCAGGCTCTCCAGAGTGAGCTTGGAGTTTCTGTGGGGCGTGGTTTCTATATGGTTGCGACTGGACTGAAAAAAATGAATAAGTTGCAGGGCGATATTCATAGTGGAGCTTTGTGTGTCTTTAAAACATGTGGAGAGTGTAAATGTGAAAAGCTCACAGAATATGCTGTGGCTGTAGAGATGGGAAATTTATTATCAGATCTTGCAAGGAAAGTGCCTGAATTACAATTATGTACAATGCATCTCCCTTATATTACTATGCACAGTTGTTCGTGCAAAATACGTTTCTCTAGTAATTGACCTGTAGGAGTCTTCCTAGACTCTTTAGGCTGAGAGATGGTGACTTGCCAAATTGTGAGTGGATTTGAACCAAAGTCTCTAGCAAAATCCAAAACTTTGTTCTCTTCATCAAACAAACTCACAAGAATTCATTTATTTTAAGCATTTTGTAGCATTTTTCAGCTAGCACTTCTCTTAAAATACCCCAAATTGCTTTTGTTGTTGTTGTTAGTCACGAAGTCGTGTCTGACCCATCGCGACCCCATGGACAACATTCCTCCAGGCCTTCCTGTCCTCCACTATCCCCCGGAGTCCACTGAAGCTCATACCAATTGCTTCAGTGACTCCATCTAGCCACCTCATTCTCTGCTGTCCTCTTCTTCTTTTGCCATCTATTGTTCCCAGCGTTAGGCTCTTCTCCAGGGAGTCCTTCCTTCTTATTAGGTGGCTAAAGTATTTGAGTTTCATCTTCAGGATCTGGCCTTCTAAAGAGCAGTCAGGGTTGATCTCCTCTAGGACTGACCGGTTTGATCGCCTTACAGTCCAAGGAACTTGCAGGAGTCTCCTCCAGCACCACATTTCAAAGGCCTCAATCCTTTGGCACTCAGCCTTCCTTATGGTCCAGCTTTCACAGCCATACATTGCAACTGGGAAAACCATAGCCTTGACTATACACACTTTTGTTGGCAGGGTGATGTCTCTGCTTTTTAGTATGCTGTCTAGATTTGTCATAGCTTTCCTCCCAAGGAGCAAGCGTCTTTTAATTTCTTGGCTGCAGTCACTGTCTGCAGTGATCTTGGAGCCCAGGAAAATAAAATCTGTCACTACCTCCATTTCTTCCCCATCTATTTGCCAGGAAGTGAGAGAACCAGATGTCATGATCTTAGTTTTCTTAATGTTGAGTTTCAAGCCAACGTTTGCACTCTCCTCCTTCACCTGCATCAAGAGGCTCTTTAGTTCCTCTTCACTTTCTGCCATTAGAGTGGTATCATCTGT